AAGTCAAACTGTTACAGTTGCTACAGATCACAACACTAGCAAAAAATAATTAAACTAGCAAACCTCCACTTCACTGAGCTACAGCTTAATAAAATAAAACCACACATACATGCCAAAAGGTTCCCTTAAGATACTAAGAATCTTGAAAAAGACTAATTAAAATCCCCTCACTATTAAGAAAATGTGTTCATATTTTGACTATTTTGCATCCAGTTTTTGAACATGGCATATATGAGACTGAACACCATGCACTAGTGGTGAACAAAAAGCAAGACAGTGAACCCATAAATTCCTACTTAATCTTTTCTCAGCTTGTATGTTACAAGTGGAATGATTTTCTCTGGAAGTTAATTCTTCTAGCTTTCAGTGTGCATGGATGTCAAATGACACCTAAGCACCCAGACTTGAATCAGTAGAGGAAAACCAAAGCTACAGTATGATCAACAATTCAGTATTTCCCCATAGCTTTCCAAAATTCTTGGCTTTGGACTTTCTTCTTGGCTTTGCACTGAGGCTTCTTTGGCAAAAGCACGGCTGCAGTGCTGCACCTTGCAGCTCTGGTGAGCAAAAGCCCTGGAAGCTTTAAGCTGCTGGAGTGGTTTCAGGGCTGATGACTATGGCTCCAAACAAGTCTCTGCAAACAGCTGCACGCTATGCACTGACAATTACTGGAGACTGGCAAACAGGGAGGGAAGTCAATGTGCCTTGTATCTGAAATAAATTCCAACTTTTTAAAAACAACATTAATGGACAGGTGTGAAATTAATCAAATCCAGGTTTGATGATAAAAACAATCAAAACAGGATTTAAGATTTAAACCTACAGAATTTCTTTGGGCACTAGGAAGCAGTCATCATGCCAGTCTCTCAAAGTTTCTACTTCAAACCCTGCACAGTGTGTCTGCATCCCCATTGTGGAGCACTTGGGCATTCTGCCATCAGGATGTTGAAAATGCAGAGACATACCAGTTCCCAAGCTACATATCTTGTTATGAGTACAAAAAGCCAAAGCTTTCGAAGCACTTGACCCCTGGCATTCCCTTGTACAGTCACATGAAACACTGAATTCTACTACTGTTTATGTCCTGGTGCTGATTATGTATTTCCCTCCGACAAGAACTTGTAGGCCACTTCAGAAAACAAAGAAGTAGTTTTCACAGAGGAAAACTGATCCATAAACTATGATCATTGACTTTTCTTCAATGCTGCAGGCTGTCCTGCTATGAAAAGGAAAAGATCGATAAGACCTGGCAAAGAGGTCTTTGCTAGTTCCTAACACCAAAGACATCCCATTGGACAGGCAGCAGATTGTCTGGAAGTGAAACAGGTTAGCAATGCCTTTAAAAAACAAATCCAAGGAGAAAAGGCAAATAAAATAAGATACAGCCTGCAAGCAAAAGACATTGCTTCTAAAGCCCAGAAGGAAAAATGAGAGCAAATTTTTAGCTGCAGATAATCTCAATTTGTCTAGCCACATAGGTGCAGTCTTACAGTATTTTGCTTCATCAACTTACTTAGGAGAAAAGCCTAACACTTTATAGTTTATAAAATATTTATAGCATGTTTTAAAAGCAGTTAATTATTTTGTTGCTGATCTGTTCAGCTGATCTGTGGGCTGCTACCCAAAGTACAAGCAGCACTATCTTGAGTATCCAAATTTTCCTGATGCATCAGTAAAAAACAGAGAAGCAGCTGTTTTGTAAGTGCAACGGTTACTTACTTTAATAGCATAGTTCTAGCCCAGAAATGGCTGCAGCAGTGGCTGACAAAGCAGTTACACATGCACAGCTTATAATATACCAAAGCGCTTATAGATTTGTAAAAAGGTGCTAAACCACAAAATAAATAAATAAATAGACATGCAGTGTTCATGATTCTGCAAGGGGGCAAACCCTCTCTCTGGACTATGCATACTTTAACACTGCATTACGCATTTCAGAGGAAAGTGGCCCAACCCTGCCAGGATCTATCACATTAGCTGGGCATGTACAAACCGTTTGAACCTCATGGAAGTGCCTGAAGCAGAAAGCTAAGATTATCACAAACATACAATACCTTCAATGTGTAATTGCAGTGGAGTTCCTTACTCGGCATCCAGCTGCAAGGGCTGCCTGCACACTTTGAGGAACTAGGTGGCAAACAGCAAGCAAGCATAACCATCTGCTTTCCGTACTTCCCTGATGTGGTTTTATTGTCTTGTTTTGTTAGACCTGCTACTTAGACTTAGAGACTTGCTCTCTGAGTCTGCCCCACTGATTTTACGCCAAAAATGAACCAATCATGGTTGTGGCTCTTCATTGCCTTCATGAGAAAAACTAAAATTGTTCCAGTCTCAGATGATACTGCAGCAGTCAGGTCCCAAAAATCTTTATCATGGTAAATTTGAAATAGCAGAAGAATGCCAGCGAAACCATTTCACCTTCCTAGCAGAACAACTGCCAACACAGTCTGTTTCTCTGAGAGTCTATTAAACGATAGCATTAGTTCAAATTTAACTAGAGGAAATGTAGCACAGGACATGTTCTCTAGTCTTCCTGTCTTTGCAAGCTTCCTCTCTTCACAGAGTCCAAAACCACTAGGAGCCAGAAATGCTGCACCAATTACGTCTGGACACAAATTCACCCAATAATTGTGACACAAGGCAGGATAGACATGGTGCAGCTAACCGCCTCAAGAAGAGCAGTCACCTGCACTTTCAGGTATGGGGAGAGAAAGTTAACTGTTTACAGTTTAAATATAAATGTAAGCAAAACCTACTTGTTTATTTACAAAAGCATCAGGCTACTTGTGAGTTCTCCCAGTTACTTTTCCACTGCACAGTAATACCCGAAGCAGTCTTATCCCCAAAGGTTTGTCAAGCACAGATTATTTGGTCTTCCACATGCACCATGGGTCTGCCTGTGCCTTGTACACGCTGGTGTAATGTATGAGGCAGCATCATCCAGTCACAGGCTCAGTCCAGTTTCAGTGCCACGTGAATTACTAGCTACATACAGCAGTAGGTATGAAGGCACTTCTTGAAAATGTTTTTTTAAAAATTTCATTTGCATGAACTGTTTGGAATATAGGGACTGGGCATTTGAATCCTTGACCCGAGCTGAGGATTTTATTAAGTAGTTGCACATGGAAGTTCACAGTACAGATTTTACAGCAAACACTAAGGCTGTAACATTTGCCTGGCCAGCAGGAAGTCTTGCCTTGATGAGGAAGTAGAGGCTTTGCACACCCAGGTGCACTAGTTACCAATTACTTAGAAAGGCCTGGAACTCCATCGTTGGATCTGGGGCAACAACCTGGACACACAGGCCCTCAAAATTATTTTCGGGGTTTTTTTCTCTCGACATTTGCTCAGTAGCAGACAAAACTGTGTAATCAGACACTGCCCCATTCTCACCCTACATATACCTGCAGATCTAGATGCTTAAGATCAATAGTTGGTAGACGGTAAGGAGGAAGGAGAAGCTCGGTGAGGTGAGTGCTGTGTAAGAATCGACTCATGCCTCACTGCGGACTTTCTGTTTACAGCCTTGTTTCCTCTGTGCAAAACCTATTTCCTTAAAGACAAACTATAGAAAAAAAGAGTACAAGGAGGAGCAGAAAGTCCTTATGTAGGTACTACATAAAATAAGAATTTTCATAAATAATTAAGAACATCCATTGGCCAAGATATGTATTAAGATCATCTATATTTGTGACTGGGATGCCTGCTATCAGAACCAGAGAACACTCGCCATTCTGTGCCTTATAACTTGACATAGTGCATGCCTTCTTCTCTAAAGCTCCTCGCCCTGATTGTTCTATTACAAAAAACATGGCTAATTTAAAAAAAAAAAAAAAAAGGTCAGTTTCTCATAGTACAACAGATATTGCACTAGAAGGCAAATCCTGCAAGCCTCTAGGGACCAGCCAAGGCAGGAGGAGGAGGAGCCTGGACTATCTCAGTTGCAGCACACAACTCTAGCACTGGATCAAGATTGTTTATCAGAATAGCTGCTATGAGGTAGGTGGGACAACTGTTAGTTGTCATTGCACAGCCCATAAGCTCTTATCTTAGAGATGGGACAGATAAATGCTTCTAGATTGAAAATGCATTAACAAAGGCCTTTTTCTGCTGCAGAAGAATCTCCATAACAAGACTCCAAATGCAGACAGAGATATACTGACAGGTCTCCATGCTAGCAGAGCTCTTGGTAGGATCAGAATCTCCCAGCAGAAGCAAAGGGAAAGGGAAAAACCTGCCTCCCTCTCCAGAGCTATTTGTTGCTTTTCTAACTAATGTCAAAGCCAAGATTTAACTGCTTTTTTTTAACTATTGGTGTAAACAAGGAGAAGAGCACCGAGACAGTCACTGCTGGACAAACTCCTTCCCTTAGATCTCATGATAGATGTATTTTGAGACTCTAATCACAGGGCTAGGTGGTATAAGTATACAGGACTGCAGATCTGTAGATTTTGTTTCAGGTAACAGTGCACAGGGTGGGGAAGATCGCACCCCTAGAAAGCTCCAAGCAGGACAGAAGACCTGGTACACCATAGCAACAAGGCAGCTAAAAATGGTAATGAAAACAAGGGCAGAACTGAGATGCACTATATTAAGATTACTCACCAGGTGTACATTAGCCATCAGTTATTGCAACAGAACAACTAAGGCATGCAAATCTTTTTGCCACCTCATAGGCCCCTATGCTGTGCTTTTCTTTGTTTTGCAGAAAGCATTGGGTGAAGATTTAAGGCTCAATCATATTTAAAAAACAAAAAAGAGAAACTGCTAAATTGGTTAATTTTGGTTTTATCCTGCATACTTCACACTGTATGGGGGTGTATGTGTATATATATATATATATATATATGTAGAGGGAGAGAAGACAAAATCTCTGGGACTAGCATAAGTCATAAATTCATCCAACTGGAATGTAGATAACTATGGGAGTTCAACCTTATTCAGCATTTAGGGCATTTGAGCTGTTGTTCTACCACCAAATCATCTGCTTAGAGCAAAAAAAGGGTGACAAGGTAGTGTTTAATATTGTCATTTGTACTAAGGCAGTTCCTTGTTATATTTGTGTCTCCTTGTTTTAATGACTGCTTACTCCGATTCCACTGCTTGGAATAGGAGTTCTCCAAAGGAAGTTTTGTCTCTGTTAAAACACTGGTTGGCTAACTCCCATCCCAACAGCAAAATTAATATCAACAGAGGAGTATAAAAATATAGCAGTTAGAAAAAATACTTTCCAACCAACACACAGGGAGAAAAGGAAGATGACACACTATAGTCCTTTTCCAACCAATATTATAAAATTAGTCATGGAAACAGAACTGAAGATCCTGGGAGATCTTTACACACAAGCTGAAACAGCAGGGTAGAAACGTAAGCAAGCACCCTACTTTTAAATTTAACAGCAACTGACAGTGCTCCTGTAATTAGCATTTTCTCAACAGCAAACATTGTGAATAAAGAATGTACCGTATTTTAAATCCCCATGCAGTACACTCAACTTTTAAATGATCTGGCAAAGCAAATTTGGGCAAAATGAGAATTTGTGTGTATAACTCCCCTCCAGTTAATAACTGGACTAGATATAAATTGCATATAATACCCAGGTGCCTTTTAAAGTTATAATAGAATAAATACTATCATTGGTAGATTCCTTTCTCAATCTAGGTGTACAATAACTTAATATATTTAATATGTTGATAAACAATTTTTAGTAGATGCTTTGGCAATCAAATTCTTATATATTCTCTTACTTCTACTGAAGTATTTAGATACGTTTTTGGAAAAAAAAATCTGCATACTACTTACAAGAATTATTTGCTGTACAAAACAGCATTCCAAATCATCACTGCAAACTGTAAAAGATGTAGTTAATGAAAAAGTATAAAAAGGAATGCATATTTGCTAGAAGATACCCAACATTTACAGGAAGAAAGAAGATACATCTGCACCACGATTTTCGCTTTTCTTGTCAATGAAGCCAGAGAAAGATTGTCAGTTATTTGAAAAGCACTTCACTTATTCCAGTTCATGCAAGAATTGTGTTTCCTACATACCACACGAGCATTATACAGTTCTGGAACAGATTTGTTCCCTTGGGTAATGCTTGTTCATGATAATAAAAAAGGTAAAAAACGTTTTCAATCATTCATTTAGTCTGACTGAAAAGATACTAGCTGGTATGCTATGATAAATGGGATACGTGTTTCCTCATTCCAAAAAAAAAAAACAAAATAAAAACAAACCCACCAAAAAACACAAACAAACACGAAAAAAAAAAAAAAAAAAACCAAACCCCAAACCAGAGGAAAACTTAGAATGACCTTTTGACTGTTCACACTGAGAACTCTCTAGTTGGGCAACAGAGTGGAGCAATAAGAGTCCATAAGTACAGACAGACACAAACCCAACAGGAGACCATCTTAATCCAGAAGATGGACCAGGTTCCACTGAAGAATTTTTCAATCTGAGCACTTTCATAACTGTTAAAGAGAAATAAAAAAGCAATAAACACACTATTCATATCTCAGACTGCAGAATCCACTACTTTTTGAAGTGGGTCAGAGACATTAACTAGGTTAACTCATACAGGAAGCAAGGGAGAGCGCCCTTTATAGAACAAGATCTGGCTCAAGAATGCCCGGGAAAGACTTGTGATGTCTCTTCAAGCTTCTAACATAAGCAGAGAAGACACCTTAATAGCAGAACCTCCTGTTCACATATCTTCTCTCAATGCAGAGACATTAATTACTCAACTTTAAAGAAAAACACTTACTGGAACCAATGAGTTACTGTCATCATCACGTAGAGCGAAGCCAGGAAGAAAACAAAGTGGAAGTAGGCATAACTGTACACTGTGCCTTTCTTCTCATCATAAACCACAGTCTGGCCTCCTCTTTTTTCAATGTGATCTTCAGCATCAGCTGTAAGAGACAGGAAACAAGAAAGTTTTTGCAAATGTAATGAGTACTGAAAACAGCAGCTGTTCACAAAGAACACCACAAATCATCTACAGTGTGATTTAGCAAAGTGTAACTGATACAGAGCCTACACTTGAACATTTCCTTGCCCTCAAGTTATGGGCCTAAACCCTCAGTGAAAAACCGGACCAACACTGAAATCCTGCCTTGTAGCAGCTTCCTGGCCTACTGAGTACTTTTTGAGCATTGGGACCATTTAAATTGCTCTACCTGTATGATATTTTTCTGGCAAGTCCATGCTGATAACCTTGATTGTACCAGGTCTGCAAAAAGGACACTCCCTTCTTATCTCACTACCGAACTGCAGTCCCCCCAAAGCTGCTGAGCCAAAAATCTAGCAACCAGTCACACCCACAGGCATGCAAAGAACAGAGATTACTCTTTGTATGTTGCAGTTTAAAGAATTAATAACTAGCCTAGTGTTTTTAAAATGGTATGACATCTCTAGCTTCCCTCTGTAGCCTAACTCTGAGCAATTCATCTGCTTCAGTTTGATGTGCTACAGAATATGAGCAGCTCTCCATCGACAGCTGCGACCTTACTTTCTTAGCTTTGGCCTAAAAGCCACAAATAAGGTAAATTTTGCAGTGAAAACATAATTACCATCTCCATCAGGTACACAGCAAAAGCAGCATCGAGCTACCTGTGGAACAGACAACAGGAAGAAGGTAAGAATCTGTGCTACAGCAAAGCAGAACAGTTGGGGAAGGAAGGTCTGTTGTGTCTACGCTGCAGACATTAATTTAGAGAAGTCTGGTTTGTATTTCCAACCAGCACAAAACTCAAATTAGGATTTGCCCAGTAGTTCACAACAACAGTTTCTAAGCTTCAGAAAAACCTACTCAGTAAATTTGAAGAAATGAGACATTCTTTAAGAATTACTCTATCTTTTCTTCATAACTTTGGGTCCAATAAAGGAGCAAATAATTATGACAAAATGGTAGAAAAGCTATGGTAAAGTACATTTGTATTTAGGGACTTACCTCTTCAGATCTGCATACAAGTTCCTTTTAGGAAATTTCTTTACTAAGATGAAAGTATAAGGAACTTTTAAAACTGATGCTGTCAGAGACTGAAACGATTAACGATTTATGCATTCTAGGATCACCAGGGGACTTCTGCAGGCTGGGAAGAGGTGGCTGTTGGCCCATCAAAGCCCATTCCCCTGCCAATCCTGAAAGGTGGGAAAAACCCTTTCGTGTGCCCCTCACAGGAACTCTGCGCAGGCCCAGGAGACGTTGGAGGCTCCTGGCATGGCCCGTGACACTGTCCATGGATATAATAACTCATAAGTTCTTGGAGTGTGTGGGCTTCCCTCCCTCACCCCCAGTGGATCAAGGCCACCACTTCAACTGACAGACATGGAAGCTGCAACTACCAAGTGTCATCGCTGGACCTCTTGGGCAGTGACTATACACATTTTTGCACTCTCATCTTTTCTTTCCCTTCCTCTCCCTTACCCTTATCCTGTCTTTCCCTTTTTCTCCCTTATGCATTTCCCCTAAAGGTTATCTTTATACCATATTGCTATAGATGATATAGATGATAACACCCAAAATAGCAACATACCTGTTTACCTTTGAAACAAAATTGTTCTAAAATAAACCCTACATATATATGTTTTCAAACACTGATTATTCAGTGCCATTTCACTCTAATCCACCCCGAGGGACTTATTAATATAAGAACCTAGGTAACTCCACTCCCCCCCTTTCTGAGGCGGGTCGCAACAGATGCATGGGTTAGAAATCACAACTGCAGAAGCATAAGTCAGAAATGTAATTATCTTTGCAAGATTCTGCTGAAATGGAGCCAGAATGAGCACAAGCCGAATGAATCAAAGAAGGAAGCTGATTTTTCTGCTTTATTTAAATTAATATTTCCTTTTTTTTTTTTTTTGTTAAACTGATGGAAAAAGGAAAACTGAAATCAACACTTTCTGGTAATATAAATGGAGAAAAGATGTTGACCATTTAATAAATATATAAGTATTTTCTGCACCAGACCACAGTACAAGCCAGCATTATCTGTAGTGCATCACCAGTGTTATTTATTCTGATAAAATCCTTCTACGGGATTTATTTTGCTTGTGGTCTGATTAAGACAATTAACCCTATTAGGAAAATTCACTTCCCTAACTATTATACCAGTCAGTCTTTATAGTAAGAAAGTCTATTAACTTTGTTTACTTACATTAGTTCACATTATACAGTGCAATGTAGTGAGGTACTGGAATTTTACTGGACACTTTGGTATTGTTCATGCTTAAGTAAAACAAACCAAAGAACAGTCCAGCCTCAGAAATAAGAACTTTGCTTCTTGGAAGCTCACAGCTGTCTCTGAAGGATAAAAGATACCCCTGAACAGCAAAGATACGGCCACAATTCTAGTCTCTCTAAAACATCTTTGAAACCATACCAGTATCATAGATAAGTAACTACCTCAAGGCTGACTTCAAGGGTGTCTGGATCAACAGATAAGAGGCAAGAATGCTGCAGAAATACAGTTGCTTTGCAGAGTTTTACTATAATTAGATAATTATATTAGATAGTGTGTGTGCTAGTGATTAGTCAAATCACGCTGTACCTGAATGCTTGAAGGGTATAAGAACCCTGTGTAAAACCACATTTGGGGTGTTCCAAGTTGGCTGGGACATCTCATGTGCATGAATGAATATTTACCCTTGCTATTCTAAAGTTTGTGTTCTAATTTCTCTCATTTGTCAAATGGCCAGTTGCATGCTTTCCCAGAAAACAGATGGCAGGTCTTTAAGGTAAATTGTCCAGCAGAAACATCAAGTGGCAGTTTTTACCTTGCATATTCCTGATTACCTGCACTTACTGGGTTCATAACTCACGAGAAGCCAAAAAGCTCATTCTTTCTCAAGAGACTGTCTGAGAGTTCAAGCAAACCCCTCATTCTGTATCTTTTTCTACTCTGTGCCAAGCCTCACCTACACTGCCAGCCTGAGCTACCCTGGGATTGCACTCACATTCTGCAGCAAGGGTTGGGTTCCCTCAAACATTTTAATCAATTGCAATTAAGTCCTGGCACAGACAGAGTGATGAAATTAGCAACACTGGCACACACCCCCCAGCCCCTTGTACACGCTCAGCTGCCTCCAGCACAGACACTGACAGACTCTCTGTACAGCAGCAACAATTGCAGAGCTGCGCGTTCACTCTGGGCTGAGAGACAAAGGCCTTTTGCCACAGGGAAGGCAATCAGAGTGCAATTAATTACTCTTCATCTGTCATTTCTTTATATTTACATTCAGTGGCTCTTGTCCGGCTCTTTAATATGCAACAGTCTGGAACTAATCCTGTGGGCAAGTACTATGGCAGACAGATGGACCTTCCCAATGAGGGGCCACATCCCACAATGAGGCCCCCAGCCTTCCCACTGCTCCTTCCACAGGGCACAGACCCACACCATCTGGACAAGATCTCTTACGGTGTAAGGTGGGCAAAGAAGGTGCATGGGTGTGAAGGGCGTCTGTTTTCTCTCCGGTGCTCCCTGTCCCATCCCTCAGCACAGGGTAGCGTGGCACAAGTCCTGTCTGGACTTGTTTGAGACAGACTGAGCCAGGTCTCGGTGGTCAGTGCCCAGCCAGTTGGTAGGCTGCCCTCCTGCAAGGGCTGGGTTTGGTACCAGCACCCTGTCCAGCTGCAGCATCCTGCCAAAGTGAGCTCCCCTGGCACCGTGTGACACTCCCACAGTGAAATGTATTTTGCTTCCCTATGCCCAGCTACTGCAAACACCAGGTGCCTCAGCAGATACTTCTGCATTTTTGAATTCTCACAAACACTTTCATTAAAGATTTGAAAAATAGAAGTTAAAACTGCAGAATGAAAGTAACACCAGTGCAGAGAGAGCTAGGGGGGGAGATTCATCTTCCAAACACATACATTTGAAGAGCGACACTTCCAAGCCTAAGTAAGGGGTGACTGTTACTCAGCAAAACCCCACTCATTTTCTAGTGTTTTCTGGGTGTTCTCAGGATAAGGAGGACAAACAGGCAGGTGGAATGAAAAGACCTGTACAGTTGAAACAGGAACGAGAAATGTCACCAGAGAGGAAGTTATAGGCAAAAAGAAAGGAAGTACTTATGTGTAGAAATAAAAATGAGATAAGTAGTTGGGATCATAATCAGTTGGTATGAGAACAAAGGCAATCAGGACTGAAAACGCTCAAGAATGCCTCCACTTCTTTTACTGATAGCTTTCCAGCACACTCGTCCTTTAAATCAGAGGGCATGAGCTCATGGGAAGCACAAGATTCACAGGAAGTCTGCAGGATGTTGAATAAACTTCAAGAGCAGCAAATTATTTCATTACATAAAGGCACCTCCACCAAACCAGCAAGAGCTACAGAAGGGCCAATGTGCAGAGGCATGTAGCACAAACAAGCTTCTGTTTACACCTAATTACAGATTACTGGCCATGAAAACAAGAAAAGCAGAGGAGAAAGTCGGCACAGAAATCCTGTGGGAAGTAGTAAGAACTCACTTCAGTTTCAGCTGTTGCATATATTCCTCTCAGTGCCTCTGAACTTGATCGTGTTGTTGAGGTCAAACTAGGAGGAAAAGAAGTCAGTGTCAATCTCCTGGGCATAACTCTAACCCCAACAGGGTTACTTTTCAACATCACAGCAAACATAAATAGCCTATTCCAATATCTAAGCTAAGCATTTGCCTGGATGCTATCACAAAGCACTAAGTACATAACAAGTTTGTTTTGCACTAGTACAAACCAGCCTGGCAGATGGCCGCTGGTCAATTTATTCTGTATCATGAGTTTAAAATTAGATCACTCCTGAAAGGTGGTGAATTCACCACCAGACAGCACCAAACATCTTAGCACTCCAATTTGCAAGTCAGAAGAGATCTCCTCTGCTGTGCACAACCAATGCTTTTATACTCAGTTCACAGCCATCACTTTGGCTCAGCATTTCTGTAGAGGCTTTGCCAGCGAACTCGCAGGTCTCTGGCAGCAGTCAGTTTTCAAAAGTAAATTATTAGTAACTGTTGTCAGTGTACCAGTTCCTAGAAATCACTTTCTTGCATGGCTGTAGTTGTCTGGGGGGAATCCTTTCTAGTTTCTTTTGATAGGAAACATTTCTTGCAGTCTTACCCTTTTAGGATGTGTAATGCTTTACTGTACAGGCTGAGCCTTGGTAAGTAATGCTTCAAAAACACTCCCCTTGAAGGCCTTCTTATTTCCCCAGCTGCATGGTACACTTCAGAGGCAGGCTACATGAATATTGTCTGCATTCTTGAAACACCTTCCTGAGGCACTGGAAATGCTCTTCTACCATGAACTAGATCCATGGTACATGATATCCATTTATTTTATATCAGAGTTAAACAGAAGACATATGCACATTTGATAACAGAAGAGTAAGTCTCTTGTTTTCACTTCAAAATTATGAAGGAGTTTCAGTATGTGAACTCTGAAGTGGACTGATTCAGAAGCAGAATTTGCTCAAAAACCTGCAGCAGACAGCCCCTGTCTCCTGGCAAGTTGCACAGCCAAAACACAAGATATATCACCTTTCAGTCATCAGCAACTTCCCGTCCCAGAGCATGACTTAATTTACTGATGTGAGCTGCAGTAATACAAGGTTAGCATCAAAGATACATGGGCACAAAGAGGGGTTTTCTTAGAGCAGATCTCTGGCAAATCTCGATGGCAATACTGTGCTCATCACTTATCCAAGGAAGCCCTAAACCCTCCCAAACAGTTTGTTTGTTTTAAAAACCCCCAAGAACCGCCATAGCCTCTGCAAGGAGGCTACAAAAATTTCAGGTAGATTTTTTAGGTGGATATAACTGCATAGAGCTTTTCTTACGGAAGCGTAAAGAGAGGATCAAAGAACCCTGGGATGAAGGACAGGTGAAAATTTTTTCCCTCCATTTCTAGATGTAAATTGCTCTATTTGATTTTTAATGAGATATATTTGTTTCAAAAGTTGTATTATCTTGTAGAACATTTTTGGCTAAAACATCTGCAATTCTGAAACTGAAGAGAATATTAACTTTTCAGCTCAGCTCTATGCTGTATCTCTCTGTGATTTTGCATGAGCTCTGCTATAAGCCTTTGCTGTTTGGACCACAACATTGTATTTACAGTGAGGTAACTGCAAACCCTCAGACTTACCAAGAATATAAAATGCAGCCAAACAAAATCGTAGTACCCAAGCCAGTAACCAGGTTTTCATCTCTATGCAGGCCTTGACTGAATTCAGGTACACAGATTGTGATATTCCGATGGTTTTCATCCAGGACTTCACAAAACAGATCAAACAGAAAGAATAGTTTGCAAAGATCATTTCACTGCATTTCAAAGTAATCTTCAGACTGGTAGTTTTTAATGAAATATTTTTATTATTTCAGACACAGGGTAGGTACATTTCAGTTGTTTCTATCTATCTTTTAAAAAAGATCATACAGAAAAAAAATCTGTAAAGCTGATCTGGCAGACTCTGTGTTTCAGGCAAAACAAAAATGCAATTTACTAGGGTACTAAAATTTCCTATTTGACCATAGCAGACTAAAAAGGAGAAAACACATTTTATGAAGTAAGAAATTAGAAACTGGAAGTCTGCCAACACTCCACAGCCATATAAGACCAAGATAGTACAGACCTGAGACCAGAAATTTTTTTGACAGAAAGGGTGCCTTGAGGACAACTATGAAATTCACACAGAGTGAAAAAAGGGTGGTCAGTAGTAGCCCTGTTCTCAGAGGGATATACAGAAGACCAAGGGAAAAAAGGTGTACCAGTTCAGGCAATATCTTTTCTCGGCATCTAATCAAATCCTACTTCTAGATCCCTGAAATGAAACCACTTCAGTCCTTGATGTTCCAAGTTGCATCTGGCATTTTGATATCTTCCTGGAATAAGGAAAGGCAGAGAGTAGCCTGCAGCATTATCCCAAAGCAAGAGATTACAGCTGCACCTTATCTCAAATCAAGAGTTTTTTGAGTCAATGCTGCTTATGGCATCTCCTTTTACTTTCCAGCAGCCACACTGCATTCCCATTGAGACAGCACAACTGTTGGTAGGGGCAGAGGGAAAAATGCAGTAAGGGCTACATCCAGGTTAAAAATAAACTCAGTCAGTTCCCTGACCCAGCGGGGGAGGATTTTGCATGGTCCTGCAGTGCTGGACAAACAGCTTTATCAGGACACAGAGGGGACAGTGTGGAGTTGAGAGCAAAAGAAGAGGATAACCAGTCTGTATGAAATACCTTGGCCAGAGATGTGCAGATTCCCCCACCTATATCCATCAGGGACACATCTGCAGCAAGGCAGGCCCACTGTTTAGCAGGCATTTTAGTGATGTCTGGCACTAAAAAGCTAAGGCACATTATAATAAGCACAGATTCAAGAGACATAACATTTTGTTTGCCCATTCTTTCTAAAGATATTTGCAACTCTTTTTGGGTGTTGCAAATACTTGCAGTCTGTATTTTCTTCAGGCCTTGTATGCGAGGTGTCCAATTTGAAAGACGGACAGTTTGGAAATTCCTTTCTTCACAAATGAGGGTAATGCTTTAACATTAGGTAAGTTCATGGCAAACCAGTGACAGGGCATGGGACACCACAGAAAGTGCCAGCATTCCATACTTTCTCTAGCACATGCCACTGTAAAAGCTGACAGGCCAGTATGAGAGTCCTTATCACACAATCAAGGGAGGATGGAGCACCTCTGAGAGCAGATGACAACCATGAAAATTCTCAGTCATGGGAAGACAAGGAGGAGCATCTGATTCAAGGAGGTCTACGAGAGTGTGCATGATGCATAGTCTTTGCATACAAATATTGCATACAAATGCAATAACCACACTTGCAATACATACAAGAAGAATCAGAGGATTCATTTAACTGCTTAAGTCTTTGTCAGAAGCATGAAACAACCTGAGGCCAATGATTTCTTTCCATACATACTTTCTTCCCCTTCTTTTTCTTTTTACACTGTGTCAAGACTTAGGAGTAATTCAAACACCTTCTAAATTCAACTTTATATTCATTCAAAGTACTGCTTTAGCTCTGTAAGTAAATCTTACACCTAAATATTGTCTGGTTTTCCTTTTTAACTCTAGAATACTTTTGTGTGTGTGTGTACCTATACAAGTGTGACAGAGATATTTTTTTCCCATCTCTCCCCTTTCTTCTTGGGAAGTGTCTGTGTAAACTTTTGCTTCCTGCCAGTTGACTTATTTTCCTCTAGTTATTGTTGTTTCAACTATTCAACACTTACAGTTGAGCAATAATAAAGAAGGGTGTTTTAGTACTAATTCAAGCCAGAAAAGCCTTCTTTAAGTGAAAAGAATGCTTCTAGTCCAAATATGTGAATCTGATAGTTATCTGGGTAAAGGAAAGTCTAAGTTGTGCTTGTGAAGTCTTGCTGTGGTTTCACAGTGTAAAGACCTTCAAACTCTAGGGAGTTCCATACTCCTGACTTGGAATGCCGAAAGCTAGAAGGCAAGTAGAGTTCAGGAAATCTGCTGAAGAACAGCGCCATCTCTACTGCAATGTAACTCCAAGTCTTTTATTTGAATGTTTCCTCTCAAAACAAAATATGAGTGGTACTCAAGTTTTTTCTCCATTAGGAATCCAGTGCTAAGGTGATCTACCACACTTTAGCACACTTTTTCTAGAAGAAGAAAAGTAATTTTAGTATATCCACTCTGATGGCCTGCACCTACTAACTGGACCTAGTAAACTTTTGGATGGAGCTGATCACCCAGCTTCTTCCAGAGGCATCCAAGAGCCATTTGTTCCAACTCTTTTCCCATCATGTGATCAAACGCATTACATGTTGAGTCATATCCTATTGTATGAGAACATGCACTTGACATAGGAGGAATAGACTAAATGACTTTGGGAAATTTTTTCATGGGAAACAGACTGAAATTGCTCTGATGCAACAGATGCAACTCATGCAAGGTAAGTTAAGCTCCCCTATACCAAACCATTTAAGGTACATGGAGAGTGCCAATTTCACAGTATCTCTGCTGCACAGATTTGTAGTATTTGCAATTTCTTCTGTGAAGGCCAGAACAGACCAACACTTCTATATCCCAGCACTCCTATATCCCCAAATTTTTTATTTCAGGGTTGCTAAATTCTTGCTTTTAGTACATGGCATGTCTAAAAGAATTTAAGTAAAGTATCAGATAACTTACTAGTTTCTGGTGGCTTGCTGGATAGTGCTGAGAAAGTGAGGTACATGACGTAGCAGCTGATAACTCCTGACTGCAGCAAACCAGAGTGGGGCTGACCTTCACAAGAAAGATGAAAATAAGTTATTTTTGTAGACAGTTTAACAAAGTGAAAAAGAAATTAGTATCCTTCAAAGAACAGCATGCCAGTATCTTTTATTTTTACTTAGAGCAGAAAACAAGGGTTTGAAGCAGTTTGGATACAGTTCCACTGGCCTGCCAAGAGAAAAAAGCCAGCTCGGCTGGCTTTTCTAGAAAGGCATTAGAGATTCCCATGTAAGTAAAGAATCACCCCTCTGTTTTTGCCAGAAGCACCAGCTTTTCAAAAGCTATTGACCAGCTGCCACAATAATTTTATTTGCCTGTAAAATCTGTGTTAGAGTCACTCTACCATTTTCAGGTCCAATGTATGCAAGATACTAACTAACACACATACACTAAAGTATGAAATATTGCTGTCAGCTCCTCCAGGCCCAAACTTTACAAACTACACAGGTAGTCAAAAGTAAACAGTAAAATAGTGCTGAAGGAGTTTGACAGCTTCAACTGCTAGCACTGCAAGACCAAGGTAAGTTTCACAACACAGTACCAGCCATCAGAGCATGAGCCTTCTTTACAGTATGACTACCTGATGGCATACCCAAAATGTCTCACATCTCTATAGTTTTAGCAGTACAGCTGACGACCAGCAACAGCACTTCATAATAATGTAGATAAAATGTCAAGAGCAGCACCAGTTCTGAACTATCATTAGACTTCCTCCCCAGACATGGCTCATGCCTCCAGGCACACAGCTGAAACAATACCAGACATCCAGGAGGAGAAGAGGTCAGTGGACTCACGATTCTGGACACAGGGCGATATGGCCACCAGTGACACAAAGAGGCACAGGCCCCCGTTAACTCCAATCAGGACCTTGTTGTACATGCAGCCCTCTGAGCGAGTGTAGAAGAGAGCCATGAGGACCAGGGCTGCCACAGCAATGGAGTACAAGATGAGAGTGACCAAGGCAAGCAAACCGCTCCACACTTGCTTGTGGTTTGCACCTGCAGTCCTGGGGAGAGAGAAACAAGCACCTTATCTTTGTCTTCCCTTCCCCAAAACATAAAATTTAATAGCTGAATAGTTCATATCCTCAAACACAAAAGACAATGTTTATTTTCCTGAAGCATGTGTGCTCACTACACCAACACAGATCCTCGCCAGGTTCCTCCCATGAAACAAAGGGAAATGTTCCTTAGCATCAGTGTTTATATTCTGTAGAATCATGCTCAGCCCTTTCTGTAATTATAGCCCAGCACTGACACCCGTAACTCCCAGTCTCTGCGATCAGCCCATAAGCACATCTCAGCTCAGTACTTCAGGGATTTCCTCAGTGGCAGCTTAGAATGTCCCAGGCTCAGTTAGCCAGTGGTGGTCTCCACACAAAGAAAGCAGAGCCATACTGCTTACCATGGCCTCTCTTCTGTACTTGAGTTACCTTGGTAGTTTTAGCACCCTTTCACTCAAAACCCCTTATCTCCATTTGGGTTTATCTCAACAGTCTCCCTTAGCTAAAGCGTGGTCCATCTTGTTTTCCTCTCTTTACCTTCCAAACACTTCTTGCAAAGATCACCAGGGTTTAAGAGTAGCAACTAGAAGAGTTGTTTTGACACGATGGGATTTTTGGTGTGTGGAAAATCTTTTTAGGTTTGTTGTTTTGTTGGTTTTTTTCCTAGTGTTTTTTTGAAACATGACTTATTTTAAAAGAATATCTAATGTAGGGAGAGCTAAAGTTAAATGCTGCTGCTGGAAATCTTTCATCCACAAAAAACCAGTTACAGTTATTAGCACTAAAAATATTTGTGGCATAAGGAGCTCTCACCTCTACCTCCCCAAAACCAAGAATCTAACAAAGCCTAAATATTTGTTAAAACTCTTTCTTTGCAGTTGGTATCCTAACTAGAACAAGAGAGGGCTGCAAAAGTTTGTAGAGGAAGAAATGCGAGACAGAAAGGCGGAGGCAGGAGTTCCTGCAGATATGTGGGAGGACAATTTAAATATATTAAATTGATGAGAGGCTAAGGGCTTGGAAGGTTATAGTAACTATACTTAAGTCAGTGCCCAAATGGGGTATATGTGAGTTGGTAATGGAATTTTGTGTATTTAGATGATAGGAAAGAAGTTGAAGAGAAAGTAGTTCTTATGCTGAGAAAAAAAAATTGATGTGCATTATGCTGACGCAAAAAAAGCAGGATTTATCAGCTTACATCATTGCACGCAGTTTCACTATTACATTCTGCAAATCCAGTTTTACTCTCTTGCACCACTCCACTTCTTAGCAGGTGTATTTTCATAGAAAATATAAACCAACTTTCTTTCTTCAACTGAGAAGTTTTGCATCCCAACACACTTACTGGAAGCCAAGCAATTGAGGTAAAGAATAAATCAGCAGAGTAGAAGTGAACAACAAGGAAACATTTCTACTGGGAGAGGAGAAAGTAGATGAATATTGACATGAAAGTGTCTTCCAAAAGTTACATCCATGATAGTCTTTGTTATGAGAAAAGTATTGGTCAGGAGTGCACCAGAATTTTAAGCAAATAACTACTTGCCCAACACATACCAATTTTTATTCCATTTGTGTGCGAACTCAACCAGCAGGATGAGCTGAATGACAATGAAAAGGCACCCTCCTGTTGCTCCTACGTAGCGCCAGGCTGCAAGGCAGAGAGGCAGAAAATAGGTCAAACTGCAGCTGCCTTTCCCTTGAGATAAAATGGAATTATTTTCAATGTAGGGAAGCTGTTAATGCGGTTTGAATATCTGAAGCCCACAGACATAGCAAGAGATGAGAGATTTCTGATGAAAGGCCAGCTCAGTTGACTCAAGATTAGCTCCCTGATGAATTCAGCTTGTAACCTGCTACACTTTCAACACAATCACATTAGGACATCTATTGAGTTTCCCTAACCTAGAGAATTTTTGTGGAGACTATGAGTTACTATATTCAGACAGAAAATACTGAAACCTTTATTTGTGACTGGCAGAGGGAGGTGGTGTGAAGGCATTGCACAGGAATTTAAACCCTGAAATTGCAAGGTACTGAAACCCAGCAGTAAAAAGGGAAATTTCTTCCAATCCAGATTACAGCACCATGGAAAAACAAAGGTGGGGTTTATGTATTTACAAATGCTTTTCCAAGCCACTCCCAAAGAACATTTTGTATGCACTGACTAATTTTAAGACAGGTTGTTTGACTGCTTAACTGTTGATCTGCATAGACTGTATTTGTGTAGCTGTTTGGGTACTTTGAACAACAGATCTCTTATGTGTAACATCAGAAGCCTCTGAGGAAATACAGATACCTATTTCAATGTTTAGCTGTATATAGAGCTTGTACTGCTGTGCAGTGCATAGCCTATAAATTACTCCAGGTGTGCAGTTGATTTCAGTGAAGAAGGAAATGCATCAGCAAAATTCAGCCACATCCTTCTATTGTGTTTTCTTTTTGAAAAAAGCTTGTATCAGTGAAGTGAAGATGAGAATGGTCAGGGCATGTTTCCATTAGCAATTCACACAGAGATTATTTTTTCTTCCTGTACCATAAACTTATTATTTGAAAGCAAGCAAGCACACTGTTCTTGGAACATACAATATAAAAAAATGGAAGAAGATAGCCTGTAAAAAAGTACATAAAAAACAGACGGAGAACAAAGTGGCATGTGTGTCTGGAAGACGTGGAGTAGCAAAAAGCAGACCACCAGTAGAATAAATAATTAAGTAGCCAGACTCTCAGAATATCCCACTGCCACAGGATAATGCAGGATGTTTAATGGATCCATGACAGATAAGGTTAGCATGGCCAGTGTGTAATTAACACTACAGCCCATACAAACCTAGTGCTTGCATGTTTTTTAAGAAAAAATAAGCAATAAGGAACAAACAACACCAAACAAACAAAACCCCAAACCAAACCAAACAATAGTGAAAGCTTCTTGATAGGAGGAAAAAAAAAAAGAGAAGACAATAACATACAATTCCCAACTCATCCGTAAATCTCAAATTCAGAGACTAACTAGAGAACAGTTTAGCAGGAAGCGCAGAATATGGCTTTAGAGTGAAATGTCAAGACATAGTACGGGGAATAAATCTTGTTATGCTGTATCTTCACACTAGGTTAGACTGCTGTTGAGAATCAGCACAAAAAGTTCTGTTTCTCCTTTTCTGTAAACACATCAGTTCTTGAAGACTTCTCACCATGAAATGGGTCACTTGTAAGGATGACAGGCAGCCTTGCTTGCTCATGAGTACAAAGCATTGTACTGCTACATCTTTCTAATCCAAACAGTGTCCTTAGGTACTAACAACAAGCATATATAGCCATCCCACAAATTCACGGAGGAGAGGAATAGAGGCATCACTTCTGGGGCATCAAACCGAGCCACGACCAAACAAATAGTAAGAGGAAGAAGCTGAATTATACCTGTCAGTGATTCACTTGCAGTGCTTTTTACCTTTAGTTTCCCAGAGTACTGTGCTCATAGTATGTCTGCTCACTCTATTCTCTTCCTCTGTATTACTCCTTCCTCTTTCCCTTTTAAACATCCTGGCTTAAAGGAGACTGGTGTTGTGAACAACGTAATCAAGTCCTAGTGGAAGCAGACATCATGTGCAAACAATCCTTTGCATTACTGATCCTATTCCTTTCCACCTGTCTGGACTCAACAGCTTATGGGCTTTCAAGTATCTCTCTCATAAAAGAACAAATTCATCTCTGTACCACCAGGATTTTTGCTCCTAGCCCGCAAGACTCCAGTGAGAAGCTCCCCTCCCAGCTGGCATTTAAGTATTGGGATAGTACCAGTGTGCTTGTGTGGGGCCAGGGTGCTTTCCAAAAATGGAAATGCTTCTGACATGTCATCCTCAGCAGAGCACTTATACCATGGTCCAAGAAGTCTAATTTTACTTTATTGGATTTATGCCACCAGCCTGAAAACTAACAACATCCCAAATTCTTTTGGGTCATTGCGAGTTTTCAGGCAGCAAACACCAGCACCTGGCAGGTCACTGTGCCCCCTTGAGCACTGGCACCTCCCCAGAGTACAGCACGAAGCCCAGCTACTGTACTACACCAGAGCTACCTGCACAAGCCAAACTAACATGCCACTCTCTGTCCTTGAGTGAATAATTTATTTTGCACCATTACAGTTCCCTATTTCTTAAAGAATTTGCAAGATAGCACTGCAGTGGTATTGTTACCTACCCATTTGGCCTGCTCTTGATCAGAAAAAACATGCTCTTTTCTGCACACTCCCATGAAGACGTGTCAGTGTGGGAAGACACAGTATTCCCCCCAAAACAGCTCTGAATACTCTTTTTGCACCTGGCCCATACAGGCTTTACTTGAAGAATCATGGCGATACTCATGTTGATCAGACCTCTAGGATTTTTTAACCACCCACAAGATAGTACAGAACAAAGCAGCGTAACAAAGTAAGGAGGACATACCATTGAGGAAAGTGTCCTGATCAGGAATGAAGAAGGCTCCTGAGCACATTGCTGCCAGAACTATAAGTTTAATAAGCCAAAATCTGGATCAGAGGAAAAAACAAACAAAAAAAAAAAATCACCTGTTCGTAATAGGAATTAGAGGTCTTCAAATAAAGTACCACAAGAGATCTCTATTTAAAGCCCAACAAGAGGTAAAAAAACCCCTCATTACCACTTTAGTTAGTTTTCACTTGACTGTACTATTTCTGACAATAGCAGTAAAATCAATTTTTTAACTGAAGGGAGTTTTTTACTACTATGACACCCAAGTGGAAAGTTGGTGGCACAAACCTCTAAAGAGATGTGAAAATTAAGCAATCAAACAAAAAACTCACCCGTTATGAATGTATGCTCGGCAGCTTTTGCTGCTGTTAATTTTGATGGTGAACAAGAAGAATAAAAAGAAGAAACAGGCCATTCCAAAACAGACTTTGTACACTGCAGAGTATCCCACCAACTTCTCGCACATCTCGCCCGCCTGAATACCCTTGCACATCTCCTTGTAGAATGGAATCTGAAAAGCAGAACATGTTATAAGCTGTTAGGACACAAGGCCCTCATAAACAAGCATGTCTATGTCTAGGCATCATGGACTTTTCACTGGCTTCTAACACCTTTCACTCTTGACACCTCTTCAGCCTGGATTCAAGGGTTCAGGGGTTATAACAAAACGTAAAACACAAGGTACTTAAATTTTCAGAACCTCCACTCCTTCCAGATGCTTTGGGGTACAAGTCCACCTCCTTTCAGCTCTGTTGGCTCAAGACATCCCTGTTCCTTACTGTTTATCCCTTCCCCCTGGGGACCTTCTCCCTTCTTCCCATGCTTTACAGCAAAAGACTCTGATTGCTTCAACAATTCAGCTTACATGAGACATACCAGTGGCTTGGGATGCCCCGGGTGGCAATGCAGACTGAAGCACATCCAAGCGCCACCAAACCTCCTCTCCATTACACTCTCTGAAAGGGAGTTGTGCCAGTTGCCCTGATTTTGTTTAAAATTAGCAGAAAGGCAGGAAAATTCCACCCTTCTCTTGACTCATTAAATATTTGCCTTTGAGGCCTCAGTCTCACCACACGGGGAAAGCAAACAGCTGCACATTTTGGCTTCAGTTTCAGCACACGGACATGAGGCTGGGTGCTCAAAAAACTAGGTCTATGTGGCCAGGACTCACTGCTGAGGCACCTCTGTGCAGAACGTCCCCCCACAGCCAGGGAACCATTCAGCTTCACAAAAATACAGGCATTTAATTAGAAAACCACTGTCCATTTCAAAGAAAAAAGGGCCTCTGTATGCTTACAGCCCTCAGCTGAAGCTGGTGAGACCAGTTGAGCAACACACAAAGCCCTCTGGAGCTGATTGGTGCTACCTGTACAAGTAATTGCAGGAGAGAGAAGACAACATGTGGCAGGACACAACATGCACAAATAAATAAATAACTCTGGCAAAGGAAACCTCTTCCTTCAGCAGGTGGGTCAGTACACAAATCAAGGACAGTGAAAGAACAAACAGGGTTTGGGAGCAAGCCATTAAGCAGCATTCCCAGCTGGGTCGAAACCCCTCTGAGATGCAGGAAACAAGGGACAAACAAGTAAACTGCCAGCTTCCAGCCAACTGGGCTCTGAAACCCTGCCTCTTTCAGCAGGGTATGCATTTTCCACCCTGGTTCCAGGAAACAAACCAGTCAGGAGCTCTACAACCCTCTGTGCAGTTTCTCAAAGAGAAATTATTTTAGCAGCTCACAGCAACACTGAGTTGCTGAGCTAAGGATAGGAAACCTAACTACAACACAGAGCTGATCCCAGGTGAGATAGAACAGCTGAGGAGATAAAAAGCAAGTCTGAATGCAGCTGCACGGTACTACGAGAATGGATTCAAGCTGGGCTACTGTGAGTTGCTCTTTCAGCAAAAACTCAGAGATGAGTAGCCAATGCGTTAGAAGCTGGACATTAAATGAGCAGCTGTAGCTAACTTGCATCCAAGAGTTTTCTGAAAGCTCCTGAGAAACTGTCTGCAGCATCAGCAACACTTTTCCCAAGTCTTGAAAGGCAGTGAAATGTCAGGCCAGGCAAATGTACCAGCATTCAAAATGAGCAAATGGATTGACTGGAATAATTATGAGAACTATCAATGCCACTGTGGCAGTTTGAGCCACATTAGAAATCCAAAATTCAAATTCCAGGCTCCCCCACCCCTTCCCACAATTTATCCTAACACCAGAGAGAAATTTTCAGGCCAGAGGCTTCTACAGGGGAAGGGGAAGGGGAAGTATATACATTTATTTACACAAATAAATTATACTGTACAAACTAAAAGCAACTATATATATATATTTACATTTCTGTCAGTCCTTTTAGCCCCTCCCTTTAACTTTAGTCCAGGAAGAGCCTTTCAAGGCTGATATGTAACCAGTCTCTCTCTCTCTCTCGTGGGAGTGTTCCGGGCTCGAACACTCCCCCCTCACCAAGCTCCAGCTGTTTGTGGCAGTTTTTCTCCTCACGAAGTCCAAGAAGATAACTTTGAGTCTTTGTTCCTTGGTCTGCTGTGTAATCTCTCCCTCTTGGTCTCATACCTTGGTTCGTAGGCTGCTGCAGTGTAGCTTATCAAGGTACGCATCCTGGAATCTTCATTCCTCCAAGTCAGTTTTCGGCTGCCCCCAGTCAGCTTCGGCAGGCAACTCCCAAGCTCTTGGCCCGTCTCCAATTTCGCCTGGGATTCTTCTCCCGAGCACCGCGCCTACCTCCTCCGGCCCGTCTCAGCTTCAATTCTGAGCCTCTCCTCCATTTACAGTGGAGGGAAAGAAAAAGCCCCCCTCTACAGCTTCACTGCAGAAAAGGAGGGGGGAGAGGGCTTGGCTGCAAAGCCTGCCTCTCTCCTCTGACCTCAGGTGCTGTGAATTTCTTCCTTCACAGCACACACTCCAAATGGTACCTCCAACTCCGGCCCAGGCAGAGTTAGGGGGGCTGCAGGGCTCCCCTCTTCCCCCTGGAGGGGGAGAGAGGGAGCCCAACCACCCCCTGGTCTTCTCCACCTACACGCAGCAGACACCAACAGCAGAACTGCCAACCACTTCCAGTGCTGTGTATATATGATTTTGAGCAGAAGCGAACAACATGGATGGTGACTGGCTCTCCAGGGAACACTGCCCCGGCACCCAATCACCTCTGAGCCCCCCAGCCTCTCAGAGGGGGGCCAATTTCAAACCATGACAGCCACAGTGATGCCAGGGCAAGCCAAAAGGCCACAGCAATGCCAGGGAAAGCAACTGGGCTGTCAATTAATCTTTTCCTATTCTTTGCTTATAAAAACTATCATTCAGCAAAGGTTAGAAAGACACATAATATCTAACTAACAATATTTCTGGGAGAATTACTTATCTGTTTTATATAGATGATAGTATTCACCAAGGGGACAGATTTCTGCAAGATCCGTTCTTAGTACCAAGCATGATTTTGCTTACAAGACTTACAGAATGAAACAAAAAACCCAAAACCATAGGACTTGATTGTCTAGCTAACTAAAAACAAATTTCTGGTAACCATAAATGGCCATCTTCTTTAATTGCATGGGTTTTGACCCTATATGTCATATTGATGGGATTTTTGACCCTATATGTTCTTTTCTCCATTAGAAGTAATTTCCTTACAGATCTGGCTGAGAGAAAATAGATAGATACACAAGAACAATAGCTCAGTTTGTGCCTACACAAATAAAGAGCTCAGCCATCATGTAGTATCCATAACACTATGCAGTAATAAGTGATGGCCACAGGAATAGTCCTATGGGACTGAATGCCCCTTTAGGAGATCTGTCACCCTAAAGGACAAAACAAGAATAATACCAAATGCTTGGGGATGCCAGCAGATAATAAACAGAAGTACAATGCTGAGGACAATAGGACTGATATTTTTGTGAGAGGTTGGTCTACTGCTGGAAACAATTTTTCAAGGCTTATGTGACTTCACCGAAAGATAAAAAAGACTAATTTTTTTTTAAATCTGTATCTCTGAAACATGTTCAGCTGCTCAGAAACCTGTCCACCCTATATACCATGCTTTCCATGGTGGTTTACCATGCTTTCCATTTGCCGGGTAGTTTTCACAGCTGTTAGGTCACAGATTACATTTGCCATGAAATATCTACTTTTATACCTTTAAAAGCAACATAAGCTAAATTCTTTGGCCACTGAGTAGAGGACAAAGCATTCTTGTTGCAGAAACTCAGTATCCTATCAAATAACATAAGCGCCTCAGCTGCTGTACAAGCAAGTGACGTTACCACAGATAAGTCTGTAATTTTCCAACGTGCACTGAAGCCCTTCGAGATGTTCAGCAACTTCAAGCAACATCTACAGAAGCAGGGAGAGACTGCCCTGAACTTGCTTTGCCCTCACTGCAAGCACCTGAAATAACAGCAGTGCAAAAAGCAAGCCAGCATGGCCACAGTGCATCCAGGCACCAGCCTGAGGGGGCTTGGCCACTTCAGAGTTTGGGTCTGTCTGCACCCAAACATTTGAGTGCAGGAGCGTGGGAAAGAGCGCTAGGGGGAGAATAGGAAGAAAGAGGTGTGTAGAAATGGGCCTGAAAGAGAATGCTTTCATCTGGATGTCCTCACCCAAAGACGGAGAATACGGCAGACAAACTTTATTATGGAAAAGGAAGAAGCGTGAAAAAAAATCTGTGTAGGTGGAAAAACAAGAGCAAAAAGCCAGGTAAACATATCATGAGTGGCTGAGAAACTAAATAAAAAACTAAAAAACGCTTGGACCAAAACACATGTTATCTTGAATCTATGGCTAAATTCTTATCAGAAATAAACAATGGGCACCTGCACTTAAAAACTTAGCTTATTTTTGGTAGCAAATTTGGGGTATAACATACAGTAGTGCAGTTAAGGATCAAGACATAAACCTAGCCGAGGAAACAAGCTTGAAAGCACGTTCTGCCAGAATGTGTAAGCATCCAGTACTGAAATGCTTTCACGCAAATGAAATGAGTTTCCCTGGTGTTTGCCTTCCTGAAAACATCTTTCTTATTTTTCCTTTCATTAGTTAAGTAGGATATTGATATTTTCAGACTGAAACCACTAGTTTTGAAATAGCTTTAACATTAAAAGTTCAATTAAAACAACCAAAAAACTTGAAAACACTCTTTTGATAGACCAAAACAATTCTGCCTCTTTTCTTCTCTCAATTACCCTTTTGAAGCCTGTGAAATTCAAGGTTTTGCTTCAACAGACCACTTGTGCGTAAAGCTGTATCTGTTAAAAAAATCCAAACTTACATAACTGGAAAAAAAAATAACATAGGGATCAAGGCATAGAAACACTTCAAGTCGGGTTCTGCTTTGCCTAATTCTGCAACAGAGTCAAGTCTCTAAACCATTTTGTGTAATTGCATATTGGTCTTTTCTGTATTTTTGTCCCCATTGCTAGGGCTCTCATGTCTTGATTGATGAACCACCCCATCTTTTGCCTTGATACTCAATATTGCTCTGCTAAATTCAATTTTGCATCCTACTATTCAAAATATTTTCCTGGTCAAAACCATAGGCTCTTTCCCGGCCCCTCCATTGCCTCTTGCTTCTTCCCCAGAGATCAAACACAAATACCTTGGTTTCATTGCAAATATTTCAGAATTTAACCCTTTAGGTCCCTCTCCCTTGCTGTCCTGTGGGCACTGGAACAGCTCGGGAGATGGGGAAGAGTGAAAACCTTAACAGAGAAGGAACATCTCCTCAAAGGACACTGTTCAATTCCTAAGACTTACCAGAGAAAAAGGATGTCCATAAAAAGGTGTTGGTTAGATTAGGAACCAAGGTTTTGAAATAGTACCCAAATACTTCACAGATACCCTGTCTTCCCAGTGACACATTGTTTCGTCTACCTGTCACCTTTGGTAAGGCTGTGGAAGCTGAGCTCCCTGGGACTCCTTTTTTTTCCAGCCATGTCATAGGGCACAGAGTACATCCTCAGCTCTGAGTTGGCCCTGTAAAGTCTGGCACCTTGGGAACTAAAAAAAGTCCTAAATGTCTTTTAATAGACAGAATGCATGACCATGGGGGTAGATAAATACTGCAAAACAAATACAAACATTTTTAAAAGGTCTCTGATTAAGGTGTCCATAAAAGATGTACATTTGCTGTTGCTTCCTTGCAAAATAACGCCAAAGGACCAAGTGCTACAATACCTTTAGAACTACTTTAGACTTGGGAATTTACAGCAAATCAACCAAAAAAACCCAAAACCCAGACCCTCTCACTGACCAAAAGACAGAGTTCTGTCATCTAAGATCAGCATGAGTATTTGAACTCTAAACTGATAAAGCAGACATTGTTAAGATTATGTCTCCATAAAGGACTGCACTACAGTTTGAAATTTTATTTTTTTTTTAATACAAACTTTTTTTTTTTAAATCTAATTAATTAAAATTCTGATTTCTCTCAAAAAAAGCCAAGAAGGTGAAGTCCCAGAAACATCATGCAAAGCATTTGCTTACAGTCTGGCTTCAGGAGCTAGGAGTGTTCCTTGATCCCACACTTTCAAAACCCAGTTCATCGCTGGCAAGCTGAGACTGGTTAGTTGGAACAAATATTTTCAAGGTGAGCTCTATTACAACCGGGCTGAACTAACTTCAGGGGTCTTTGAACTTTTAACAGCTATAAACATCATTATTAAATTAGAGAGCAGATAAAGAAAGCCTACTTTCAGATGGTCCATTTCCCATTCAAAGACTTCAAATGCTCTAAACTAAGAGGGTGATTCTCTTTCCACTTCACACTAACAGCTATTCTTTGTGCCATTTCCTCCCACACTGAGCTTTCAAGACCATAAACTGTAAAAGAAATTTGGCAATACTGAAAAGCATGTTGTTGAAGGCTTCTTGAATCACTTTTCTGTTGGGTAAGGAGTATTTTTTTGTTAGGGATACAAGCTGCATTAAAACCACACGACTGATGGAAAACAACTTTATGAAATTTGGATATGAGCACATAATTTGTCTCCCACATACTCCAGTTCCTTGGCTTATTCACTTTATTGCCAAGCTAAGTATCTAGTAAGTCAAAGAAACTCCTGGCAAGCAATTTCAGAACACACATGTTGAACAATTTTCAAGTCACAGCTCACAGGCAAGCATCATGTCTGCACTGGGTTCTCCTACAGGGCTGTCAACAACTTCTGGTGGCATGGGATAAGAAGGTGGCACTAGGATAATTCACGCAAAGTGCTATTAAATGAAAGAAAATTAGGACAGAATATACGAAGAGGGTACAACGGGAAGAAAGAAAGGTCACTGGCAGCAGAGCACAGAAGCCCTCAAATTAGCCCACCATAAGCCCACTGGCTCATTTGTGTTGCAGGGAGAGAGTGCTGCAACCAGCTTCTGGATCTGGGATGCTATGGAAGAAAGTGTTTCAGAGACAACCAAAAACAAAGTGCAGGATTTAAGCAGGGCATCAGCTTGTCCAGCAACCGATTCAGTGAGGAAACAGCCCTAATCATGCACCCACAGCACTCTCTTGGGAGGGGAACACAAAACAACTACATGCCTGCAGCGAGGGAAGCCTTCTGAACCTCCAGGACAAGCACATTCACAACCCTGAAGCAGGCCCAATGATGTGTTTGGTGCAGAACCTTAATTTTTAAGAACTAAGACATGCAGCCATTGTTCCGTCTGCTTAGAAACAGACTTACATTCTTGTAGTTGGTAGAGGGTGAGAGAGAGGACTTACACTACTCAGGTGGCTTAGTGGTGGCTTGTACCAAATATCTGGTACAACAGGTCCACTGTGTGTGAGCGATACCAGGCTAGGTGAGCATTTCACTTAAGAAAGTTATATTAAGACTCCGAAAGAAACTTGAGTTTTAAAATCTGGTTTTAGCTGCAGCTCCTTTCACGCTTTTGAAGATCTTTAATTAAAAAGACAACTAGAGATTAACAATATTTGCTGTTGTTAGAGGCCAATGACTCAACACACACTGAAGAAAAGCCCTTGTAAAGGCTCTGCAGCACTGTGCTTTGCAGTAGTCTGTCATACAGCACTGAGAATACAGAATTAAAATTATAACACTTGAAGAGTTATTTTCTAATTTTCTGCTTCTGCTAGCAAACAAGCTGCCAGAGACGAACTCAACGTTAGACTGAACTGATTTGTTCTATAAAAAGCTCCCTAGTAAGCCTCTTGTGACACTACCTGTGCAGCAAACCTGCAATGGGTGCGCTCCAGCGGATTTTTGCACAATAGGAGAGGAAGGCCTTGACACTTCCTGTTGTGAAACATACTCAGCGGGTGACAGGAAGAGGGTGAGCATGGTAAATCATCATGTCTGAGTTTGGAAGTGGATGGGTGGAGAAAATCAACTGCCTCTTCTGAGGAAGTGCCCCTACACACAAAGAATTGTGGAAGGAGCCCCTTTTCCTTCCAGAGGCAGCAGTGAGTTGATCTCTTACTTACGTGCATTTTCATTTCGTTAGCTACGGTTGTTGACATCATGACACAGCAGATGATAGTCACCAGGATGAAGTAAAGTGCGTACATGAAGCGGGTGCTGGTTGACTGTTTTATCTTTGGGCAGCATTTGCAGCACAAGGAACAAGCAGCAGTACCACAGCAGCAGGCCAACTGGAAAGTAAGACAAAAAAAACACAAGTCAAAAAACCACCAAAGAACTCCAGCTTCAGGTTTCTGTTGCAAAAGTTAGAAAAGGAGGCTGGGAGACTTCTTGTAAAATGCCAGAATTTCTCAAGTTCTCTCCTTCCAGCTGAGCAGCATTTAACTGGAAGCAGACAGTCTTGTTTATGAAAAGTCACTACTTTTAAGCACATCAGTGTCTAGCTTTCTCACATTTGCTAAGGATGAGAGACAGAATTCCTTGTATACACTTCAGTTCTTTTCTACTCACAACTGAGAGTCCACCAAGACAAAAACTACAAAGCATACCAAAAAGCATGTATTCAACGAGGAAAAAGGTATGAACAAATCCTGAAAGGAATTTAGCTTGATGCTCATTACTTTCTTGCTGTCAACAGTATCATTAACTTTCAAAGAAGCTGGACTCACCTTCCCTGCCTTCTACTTTTAAAAAAGTGATATATAAAAATATAAATGTAAGCCTTATTTTTATACATTAGGCAGCACTGTCCTTGGCCAGGCCCTTCCTTGCAATAGGCAGCAGCTTCATATGGTTTCTGTGCTTAACCCACCAGCCATGACCACAGGAGGGTTTTTAGACACCAACAGGCAGCCATGAGCAGGGAACCTCACTGCTGCCAACCCAGAGTAACCTCACCCTGCTGTACTCCCAATTTCAAGGGACTCCCTGTGGCTAGGTATGGTGCCTGGGGCTCGAGCACACCAAGGCTGCTTTTTCCCAGCGTTTCCTGAGCCTCTGGAGGGGGCATGGGAACATTCAGAGGACCTTCTGCTTTCAGGAAGCAGTTGTACAAGGTGGATTCTTGCCAAGGGACTCAAAATGCACAAGTGCCACCTTTGCGTCATCCAGGCAAACTTCACTGGCTTGTATGTGCCATCAGGTTCCAAACCACCACATGCTATTTTCCCCCCAGGACACTTTCTCTTCCAGCAACGACTCATCTGATAAGGAGGAGGGGGTTTCATGTGTGTGTTTGCAGACACACATATCTGATATAACTCCACAAACAGACTGACTGATCCAAGAGCCCCAAATTGTTTTGATGAAGTGTCTTTAAAAGACTGATTCCCAGTTTTTCATTTCCTTGCCATGACTACCTCTGCAACACTCCATCTCGGGCTTCCTGCCTTCAGCCCCACAAAAAGGGGGTGGCAGACAGGTCCTTCCCTTGTTCAGCAATGTCTTCAGCTGGCAGAAGACATAAAATGGTGGGAGTCCAACCCTGCTCCCACACTGCTCTTCTCTCACTTCACTGCCGGATAACATGCCAGAGAAGGGGCCTCAAAGCACACAGCTGCTAAAACTGCTGCTGCTGCGAAACAGAAATCCTCCCCAAAACACAAAGCTCCAGCTGTGGGGAATAAACAGCATGGGCTCATGTTGGCACCAAAGCCAGAAATTAAAAATACTATGTGCAAAAGTACACAGTGCAAGTATGCTTTCAAAATAGAAGGCAGTGGTGGGCTAAACATCAATTTTATTTTTTACAGGTATTGAAATTGTTACCTTTTACAGCATCAACACAAGCCTGGGAAATAAGGAAGCTACGTCAAATTACCAATTCAACAAGCAAATGAAATAATAACAATTAAAAACAAATGCATACTAGAAAAGTATAATCCACCCACTTCAGATTTAAGGGGGGGGGGAAGGTTAAGACTAAAGGTCCTTTCAACTTGAAAGGATTTGATATCGGTCATATCCAAAGTCTCCACAATGAACTTCAACTGCTGGTCTTACCATAACATCAAAAACTACAGAATAGAAGTAAATGCTGCTTTGGCATTTGTAAAGGGAACAACATTTTCCTACTCCAGGTGCTAGAGAGCTGTGTCAGTAATATCTCATCTACATCCAGCAACATGTCTGCTATTCTACTTCTGGGTCCCTGGAGCTGCTACTTAGAACAACAAATGCTTAAATAGAATATATAGCTCATTTATGTACTGTTCCACATCACTTAGACTTTAATGATAGTTTCTAATACTGAGCACATACCCTATAAGTTGCAAATTTTGGTCAAAAATACCAGTGTGTTCATCTTTTTCCAGATGCACCTCTTTAAACAGTCTAAGTAGCCATGGAAACCATAGTAAGTTGGTTACATTATTCAGCCACAGTCCCAAATTTGGTGGTTTGGGTTTTTGGTGAGGCTTTTTTTTTCTTTTTCTTTTTTAAACTCTGGTTGTAACTAAATACATTCTAGACTAGGCCAAGATGAATTAGGTGTTATCCAAAAATAAATGAGAACAGTCTCTGTCCCAAAGAGTAAAATGCTGGCCACATCCTACTGACCAAAGAGGTTTCAAAGATGTTATCTTTGGGTGACAGACTTCAAAGCCCCCATATACAAAGAGTTCTCTATTAAAAAGTTGCAGTCAATGTACAGCTAAGCTACACAGATCCTCTGATGCTTTACTGCAGGTATGGCCCATCACCTCTGCCTTTTGACTACAGCAATGGTCTTGCCCAGGGGCTCAAAATCCACTTCAGCACTTGAAGCACTTTAAGACAGTAACAAATTCTCATGTTAAAAAAAACAGTCTGTGAAAAAAAAGCAAGTAATGTCAAATTTTTTACAGATTTAGCTTATCATTAAATAAAAACTCCTCCAATGAATGTGTTCTGCAGAAGCAAGATGCTGTGCAGTTTTTAGGACAGAGACAACCCAAAAAACAATCAAAGGTCTGTAACCACTGCCAGCTGGCAGGCCTTGAAAATCCACATCCATACAGCTCCTTTGAAGTCCTCTGATCCTCCCAAGACCAGGGTCTTCAAAAGCCCAGTGCAATGGCATCTGAAAGCCAGGCTTCTCTGGCAGGAGTTTGTCATGCTGCAGCAGGTTCTGGCTTCAAGTCCGTCTAGTCCAAAGGCTCCCACAAGTCAGGCAACAAGCACAAGCCACCCCAGTTGCCCCTCTATCTTTACATCTCCTCACCAGGTGAACATCACAGTCTGACAATAATTACAAACACTACACAAATATTTATGCTTTCCACAAATTCTTACCACCAGCCAGCCCCCTCACACTAACCTCCCACGACTCCAGGTCTCCACACCATAGACCAGCCACCTGCTTTGTTCAGTGCTACACTTTTGGAGCTCAAGGAAGGTATGGTGCCAGCTTGCCTGAGAACCCAAAACTTGAAATCCTAGTATACTTGAAAACAGACTGCTCCAGGATTTGAACTGCCTGGATGATGGCTGACTTGACTGGTTTCACAACAGCAGCTGTGGAAAGCTGTGTGGGGAATTTTTCTGTTAAAAAATATTCAAAGCACAGTTTCACAGACATTTCTTCTGGTAGCCAGGCTGGCTTAACAGCCCCTACCTCCCGTCTCATCTGCCAGCCACTCACTCATTCCTACCGCACACCAACACCTCACTAGACCTGACAGTCCTATCTTGTGGTGGGGGTGACTAAATAAAGCAATCTACTGGCTAAAAAAAAAAAAAAAGGGTAAGGAAAATGAAAAAAATACATATCAATCCTTTTCAGCTGCTGATACAACAGCAGCAATGGTTCTACTATTTCCTGTGAGGGCACAGTGCACGGGCAGGGGAAAAGTACGGGTGAATGTTTTGCAGCTGTCTTGAACGCTTTCACCCCTCTCTGAACAGAAGTTTCAGTGGCATTTTCCTATTGCCTCATTCGATTGGAGTGCAGTGGGTTCATGCCAATGCAGAGGAACTATAACTTTTACATCCACACAGAGAGGAGCAGAAGTAAGCAGACATGTAACAGCCCTAGTTCGTGCAAACCACTCTTCCAAGTACAGGCAGGCCTGGACATATTGCACACTCCCATCGTCCAACAGCCTGGGAAGAACCTGTGGTTAACAAGAGTTAGACAGTTTAACAAAACAGGGTCAAAGCAGGCTTACCAACTTGCACACAAACTGTTGGTTCCCTACAATGAATACTGCACCAATATACCCTTAACATCTGCCACACACTCAAGTCTTTTCTGCAAGCTGTAATCCAATCTGATAAATCAGCGGAACAAGGTATGAAAGTAGTGTTAAGCACATGTAACTGTTCAGATACAAGAGTGAGAAGTAAGTGAACATGCCCTGCCTGTTGCTTTTGTAGAGATAGTGACATTTTAAGAAGGTATTTTCCACATATGTTTCCAAAAAGATCTCAAAGGTCTTAAAAAATACTTTGCTTAATCATTAAAACAAAGTGAAGAGTTTCAGGATCATAGCCCAAAATAGCCTATGGTATTTTTAAATTATACAAACCATTACTTATCACAATAAAGCACTTCCTTTCAGGAGATTTCAGTAGAAATGGTAAAAATCAAAGGGATAAGAGCACAAGGACGAAAAAACCTTCACACTTTAATAAAATGAAGCAGCTTTTTATTTCTTCCCTCCTAACTGACAGCCTGGCCAGAGCATGAAGAAGACTGCATGCCTTCCAGCCTGTCCACAGAGCATAGGAATGTGCCTAGCTGAAGCTTCTTTTCATGGGGGCAGTTTAGTTTTTCATGCAGTGCTTGACTACTTGACTACCAGCATTATCTGGGCCATAAGATTTGCAGATAATGCAGTCACCGAGCTGTTAACAGTGTTTATCAAAAACACCCAAACATCTACTCTCACAGCTACCCGAAGCATCCAAGCAGGCTGGACAGGCAAAGCAGCCGGCCCTGCATGAATGATATCCTGAACAGGCTACACACTTGTCATTGCTTGGGCTTCTGCTTTCAGGAAAGACTGTCTAGAATTTTGTTAGTGCACTGGTTCATGAAAACAAGAGATGTCTGATGCCAGGTGTCCCAAGTGGTAGGAGATGGTCTAAGACTATTATTGAAAACCCACTGCTGTTATGCATATGCATTTTCCATAGGCTTCTTCAACCAGTCACATGATTACACAGTGGTTTGTCCCTCAGAAGTAACTAAATTCACCAAAGAGGCCTTATTTTGTCTGACTTAACTGGCTTTTCACTGCTTCTTATTTAA